GCATGCCTACCACGACATCGCACGCCAAATGTCTTCGCCGAAGGCGGATCTGTACCCTGGGTAGCTCTGTTCTACGTGATATCGTGCTTCGAACACTTTTCTTTCGGGCGTGCTTCCGTTTTTCGCTCCGCTCCCGCTTTGGCTAGTCGCTTTCGCATCTCTTCGCTTCGCTGTTCCTCTATCTTCTCTTACCTTCTCGCTCTGTCCGTGCATTCTCTGCTGCTCCTCCTCCCCCGAAAAAAAATTGAAACAGGCCGCTGGGAAAGTTCCACTACTTCGCCTCCAACCGAAGCTGAACGTGGACATCGATCTCTGAGTTTTCGACTCTGGTGCTTATTCTGTTGTGTAAGGCTTGATTGAACAAAGTCGGGGGTGAATGTAGAGGGCCCTGGCGGCCGGTCAACGTGTCCGCTATGGTATGTGCCTTTGGCTCGATTTGGCTTGATTCGATCCGCACGAAAATAATGCCCCAAGGTGCCGTGTTTGTGTTGTGGCCGTTGAGCGAGAATGCGAGGGGTGCCTAGCGCCTAGTGCCTCCCTTGTTGCTGCCCTTTCTCCTATCCGTCCCAACTGTACCTTTGTTTTTTGCCTGTACCAAAAGGCTGGAGTGTGCCATGCGTGGCAACGTAGACTGACTCGCAAGTCCAAGTCTTCGCTCGGAGTATGAGCTGGAGTCTTTCCTTGTTTGCTTCATGCCCTGCGGACATTCGTCGTGTGCTAGATGCGACTTGTCCTTGAACGTAAAACGATAAACAAACGTCTATCAGACTCGGCCGACACACCGCATTAACGAAAGGTAGCAGGCACGCGGCTGGCTTTCGGCGGGGTCGTGTGCTCTGGGGATGGGGCTGCCGCGAAGAGAGTCGGGGAGGTATGTGTGGGTGTTTGTGTTGGTTGCTTTGGCCTTGCCTTTTTCGTTGGCTTCTGCTGGGCTTATTATATTCTAGACCGTGTCGTTTGGTTTTTCTTGGCGTTTGGACGGGGGCTCCGCAACTTGGGGGTGATCCGACAACGCTAAAGCCGGGTTAAGTCGCAGCCGCGCGCCAGTTGCGGGTTGCGACGCCACCTTTCCTGGGGCGGCCCCTTGTGCGTCCCCTATTGCATTGTCGTGTCGCTCGTGCCTGTATATTCGCACGGACGTACGGTGGTGTTTGTCCGTGGAGGAGGCGGACTCGGGGATGCATCATTGACAGACAGACAAAAAGACATTCGTTTTCCCTTTGGTCTTTGGTTATCACTTTCTTGGAGACGCCGCGTTAGATGGACTCGGCACGATTTTGATGTCAACGAGAGGAGTGGGACACCAAGACGGGAACGAGGACGGCTCGTGGACGCCTCCTTCGATTCTTGTGCGACAATCAATCAAGTGATGAATGATATCGTAACCGCTGTGGCTTCGTGTGTCCAAGTTGAGTGAAAAAAACAAACGCTTCGCGCTTCTTTACAACTCACTTGTCCTATCAAAACCACTCCCCAGCTCACCGTTGTCGCTCTTGGTTGGCAGCGCTCCCTGCTCGTGTTTGGGTAGGCGTCTGCGGATCGCCCGAGCCTAGAGTTATCGATGCCTACGCTCTTGGCGCTGCTTTCTTTTGTCCAGCGTTGGACGGGAGAACAGAAAGCAAAGTGTGTAGGCCGTGGATACGACACAATCCTTTGGTAGAGCAACGCAAGACGTGTATGGGATGGACGAATAGGTAATATGCATACAACGGCTGTGAACTGGCTGAAAAATGTGTCCGTGGAAACCGCACACAGTACCCATTGCAACGCGATGAGCATGTGGGCATCAACGTCATGACGACCTCTCCAGCCCCAGCAACCCATCCACATCCGATCCCCGTATGTAGCACGTGTTGTCGCCTCTACACAACAATCCGGCCTCAACAAATCTATCCGTAGGTTACCACCTAGAGGTAAGTGGAGCCTGCCACTGCCAATTCAGTCCTTCATTCAGCAAACACATACCTTCTAAATCTCATCCCCAATCACAGATGACAGCTCTCCGCTCCTTCCTCCCCTGAGAGAGAAAATCTTCATGTTCCCTCAAACATAAAACCTTCTCTATCGGAGGCTGAGCGTATGTCGTCGCCCAAAACAATTGTAACTTGAGGACTCGTCTCGATAGAGGGAGAGGGGCCAAAGTCGATCAATGCCACCAACGCCACCAATACTTTGGCCTCGGCACTTTCACTTGCGTTGGCGGAGACGAAGGCAGGAAATCAACAAAGCAAGTACCACCATCATCATTGTGAAACAACGCGTGGAGTGCACGGCGTACCCACAAGCCAACACAAAGATTTTCCCGCAGCAATCAACCACCATCATCGGCGTTTGGCTTAATTTGAGCCAACTATGTATTTTTTTGCCCAACAAACTCCGCAAGGATCGTGACGCAACAACGAGCAGGGGGTTCTTGGTGGCGTCCTACAGCTAGTAATTGCCAACTCCACCACGGCGTGCCGACACTTTCAGGGAGAAAGAGGTAAACACAGCCATTCACAACATGGACCGGGCAGCAATGTCATCGCCACAAAAACATCAGAGTGTGATGAGCGTGCAACAAAAAAGAACATAAAAACCAAGTCTACGTTACATCACACATTCCGCACACACACACGAATGATGTCCACGATTACCACCGACCGTAACTCGGCAACTTACGCCACGCACAATTATTCTCTGCCGGGCAGCAGGAAACACACAATACCACCTTCCTCTCTACCGAAGGATCGCAAACAATCCCACCGCGGACACCCGGAACCCCACATTTTCCTACGCACCCAAGCATGTCGCCAGAAGACTTGTTGTCCAGTAGAGAAATGCAAATAATTTTCCGTGCACGAGTTCGGATGCTCGCCCAGGTGCCAATCCCCGACCGAATTCTCATCGTTTGCGTTCTGCATCCTCCCCCCCACGAGCTCCCATTCTTTCCCTCTCCCACCCACCCATCCGTCGTCTCCCTCTTCTATCTGTCTCTGTCCGTCTGTCTGTCTCTGTCTCTGTCTCTCTCACCCACCGCCTCCATCTTTACGTGGCCTCTCATAATCATACTAGTACAACCCGGTGATGCGTAGAGATCACCACACAGCCGCACCTCGCCATTCCCCCCCCCCCCCCCCCCCCCCCCCCCCCCCCCCCCCCCCCCCCCCCCCCCCC